ACCCAGATGCGTGTTCCCTCCTGTGTTCAAGTCTGTCACATATAAAGCATGCTGGTGATGTTGGAGCTGTTTAATTGCTCAAACTTTTTAGATATAAATGAAAATGTTTGTATATATATCTAAAAAAAACAGGCTTAACTTCTGATCATTACACCTTATAGCTATATCTGTCAACGTGTGGGATTTATACCTTTGTGTTAAGAGTAAATACTTATTTGGATTTTTACTTTTTAAATAACTTTTTCATCACTATTTTCCTCAATGATGAAATTCCTCAATTTTCCTTGTCTGCAGTCATTATAAACCCTCCAGTTTCAGACAGGTCCTCTTGCTTCTTCCTACCTAATGCAAACATTATTTAAGAGATGTAATTATATCTGTTTCCACTTTGATTTAAGACCTCCTGTTAGGTTATAAAGGTTAAGGTTTATAGTAAATGGAACAGCAAACTCACAGGTGGGACAGAGGGAAAACAGGACAGAGAACATAGGCAGAGAATCTGGTGATAAAAAAAGAGGATTGATGATGAAACATCAGACATTTAGCAGAGAAACAGAAGAAATCAGCAAAAAACAAATACAAACAGGCATTTTATATACATGGGGGTAGAGTGAAGAAAGGCAAGATACTCCAGCGGGACTAGTCAGACAGAGAAATGACGAGCAGCTGAGAGCAATGAAGGGAGGAGAAGTTAATAGAGAGAGGGAGCGATCAGGGAAGCAGAGGGACCAAACAGAAGGAGTGGAGCTGGGAAGAAAATAAACTAATGAACAGAGAAGTGAACTAAGTATATACAAGATAAATGAGCCTACGAGGCAACATCTGTCTAATGAAAAGAACCTTGAATATGGCCTTGAATAGCAGAAAGATACAATAAAATAACAGGAAGGCAGTGAAAACATGAACATAAACGAAAATGATAACCCAAAACTTAAGTGAATGAAACCTCAAGAGTATCTGTTTGAATCATTAAAATACTTGTTTCCTGACCTCCTAACAGTCTGCCTGCATTAGGTTTACTCATCAGTTAGCACCACATGAAAAGCTTTTAATTTGTAGTACCATCCTTTGCTTTCTTAATTAAATAGGAAAATAATAAATTGGTATTTCCCTATTTAACGATGTACCATTGTTATCTAAACCAAGATGATTTTAGTGACTAATAATAAGTCCCAAATGTTCACAGGCAGAAACCAGCAGGAGTCCAAAGACAGGTCAGGCAAACAGATCAGAACATAAACAGGCTGGCTCAAAGGTCCGAAAGCAGAACAGGTCAGGATCAAGCAATCAAAACACAAACAGGTTTGCTAGAGAACTCTCACTGAAGGCTAAAATAATCTGGCACTGATGATACTTTTTCACTTTTACTCAAGTAAAAGTGGAAAAGTGTGTGCTCCAAAAACTACTTAAAGTATAAAAGTATAAAGTAACCTTAAAAAAAAAAAAAAAAAACAGCCAGATGCCACTATATGGATTGAAAGCTCAATTTTTTGACTATTTCGAAAAATTCTTTGAGATAGGGCCAAGGATGAGGGAGGTATTGTTGGTCTCTGTCTCCCTCTCAATTCAATTCAATTCAAACTGGCGCACATGATGTGAAATAAATATTTATAAACATTAAACCGAAGCCAAGAGTAAAGAGCAATGTTTGTTTTAGAAATGTAAGGAATAGAAAGTACAGATACTTGTGTGAAAATGTAATGAGTAGAAGTCAGAAGTAAGAAGAAAAATAAGTAATGGAGTAAAGTACAGATACCTCAAACGTGTACTTAAGTACCTCTGTAAAGAGGTGAATGGAATGAACAATTAAGCCAGTCATCATTTTCAAGATCATGACAGTATTTTATGAAACGTATACCAGATATGATTTTATTTGGACCATATCTGATCAAAAGTGTTACAAAAGGATCTCCTGTTCAATGGCATTAATTATTATTCTGTAAATAATAGAGAAGCAAAGGCGTAACTATAGCTCTTTCTCACAAGGGTGAAATCCCATACCTATTGCCTGGGAAATTCTTAAATTCATCCATCCATCCTCTCCCGTCAAGGTCTGTCAAGGTCGCGGTGGGGTGGTGCTTATCTCCGGCAGTCTATGGGAGAAAGGCAGGGTAAAAAATTGACAGGTCGCCAGTCCATCCAGGACAACACATAGACACACAACCATGCACACATTTACAACTATGAAGAATTTAGAGATGCCTAACAGTAATGCTTTTGTATTGTGGGAGGAAGCTAAAGTACAGTACCTGGAGAGAACCAGCAGATGCACAGAGGGAACATGCAATCTCCATGCAGAAAAAGGCGCTAGGAATAGAACCTAGGGACTTCTTTCTACAAGGGGCACCCACTGTGACACCGTGCAGCCCACATTGATGTTAATATTGGTTAAAAGTTAAAGTGTAAATCTTTATAAATTTGTATTAACTGGCCTTTTGTGTCACTCTCAGGGTGTAAAAGGTTGATGACCCCTGGTCTAAAGCTACAACAGGATAGAGTTACTTGTGATACAGACAGTCTTATCAATATATGAAACTTGATATAAATAAGAAAATGAAACATTTCAGTCAAGTTTCACAGTACCACTCTAGAAACCATAAGCTTTTATTGGGCAGAGAAATGATTAGAAAGTGGAGATAACCAGGAGAGGAAACAGTGGTGTGAAAAATTGTTTGCTGCCTTTCTGATTTTCTGTTTGTTTGCATGTTTGTGAAGTGTTTCAGAGCAAATGTGACTGATACTGTTGTGTAGCCAATGAAATCCTGTGAATGTACACATTTTAGGTATGCAAATGCAAGTTGACAAGACAAATCAATATGTAACAGGAAGCAGCTGGAGCCAGCAATTTTGTGTCCTTCAACATTTTTTTTTGCATTTCCTTTTATATATTTTTTTCAGTCATGTGTGTTTCTTAGATTTTGACAACATAATCTAATTCCTCTGAGTGTAACTTTTTCATATAGGCCTCAATGAAATGTCTGTGTTGCAGTGTTCAATGTTTACAGCCTTTTCCTCTATCTCCACTGGAATATCCAAACAGTCGCTCTTCGAAAAACCATGGACATCAGATATTAGTCATTTCTTTTAACAGTTCTACTTTTATTGAATCTGGATGCAGAGAAAGACACTTAAGAATATGTCCTTATTACAAAGAGCCCAGAAATTAATGTATACTCCAAAGGGGTCCAAAACAACATGAATTTTAATTTGGAGAAGTTTTCATTAGATGTTTTTAGAAAAACAGACTCAGAACTAAGTAAGGTGTATTAAAGCCGAATAACACTAAGAATAGGTATTAAACACATGAAAAAAGAAGCTGCAAAAAGGCATACAAAGCAAGCAAAAATTTAATTTAAAATAGAAACCAGTTTGTCTTCCTCTTAGTAACTTAGTAAATTAAGACAAATTACTATTACCACTGTATGTCACACAAAGCATTGCATAATACGTAGAAATTTTCAGCATAAGGTTAAAATAATTCACATTTAAGTAACTAGTTTAAATGCAACAATTATCAATGAATTAACCATTTGGAGGAGAGATGGCACACAACTAACCTTAAAACCACATTAAAACCATTTTACAAACAGCAAAGTCATTTTCTTCTCTTAAATCCAATCAAGATGCTGTGGTTTGACCTTAAACAGGCTGGTTATGCTCAAAACCCACCCAGTGAGGCTTAACTAAAACAATTCTGCAAAGATGAGTAGGCAAAAATTCCTCCACAACATTATAAAAAGAATCATTGCCAGCTGTTACTAAATATATCCTGCTGCAAAGGGTTGGCCCAACCAGCGTAGCTTTTCTTCTCAATAGATAACATCATATGGAAGTTTTTATAAAAGAGCAATAGCAATGAATTCTGTAAAGGGAAAACCTGTTTTTCTTATTTTTACACATTTGCTCAAAAAAACAACAACACAGAATTGCTCAATATGTACTTTACTATTGTATATAGGAATCAAAGAAACTTATGATTTTTGTTCTCTCTCAAAAGTAAGGTAATTTATATTTAAAGGTGAATGCTTTAAATTGAGTGTCTGCTGGGACTCTGTGTCAGATTTTCTTTGCTGACTTCTTTCGTGTCTTTCGAAGAATATGCTGACAGATTTCCGACAAAAGGTAGTTATTGAAAAGAGATAATGTTTTCTAGAACTGTTCAGAGGAGGAACAGCAAATTAATTTTACCAGTACTAAATTAAAAGTCTTTTGCTAAGTGTTCTTAAAATTAAAGGAAAAGAAGGAAACCACTAAAGTTAAAACTTTAACATTCATTCTGCAACTCTAGACATATTCAAACTGACACCTGTTTAACTAGCATGTTTTTGATAACCATCAAAGCTGACAGGAATCACTTTTTGATCTTGTCTTATGCAAATAATTTTTTTCACAATCAGTATATACTTAAAATTAGCAAGATAAATTTAATTACTGAATTTCTGTCCCACCCCTTGTCTTCCGTGAAAATTCATCACTGTTTTTAGTTTCTTAGTGTTTGCTTCTTGCGTATTTGAGCTGCATAAATACAGGACAGAAGAAGTCAAAGTTCAGTGAGAAGAAAATAAACCTTTGTTTGTCTTTAGCAAATAAAAATGTGAATCATTGCATTTTGTTTTTTTAGAAAAAGTGTACCCAGCATGCATCACTGTGATTTCATAAGTCAGATCTTGAGGGGTCTTTTCAGTGCTTTTTTTTGACAAAAATTTTATTGGTTTAAATTCTGGACCAATCCGCAAGTTTTATTCTCTTGTTTCCTGAAGCCAATTAATAGTTTCTATGACTTGTTTTATCTTTAGATACTTTCCATCCATGTCTGTAAATGTAAGCAGTCATCCCTACTTTATTTGCATTAAGTGTTTCTTTACGTTTAAATTACATGTCAAACATTAGGACAGCCCAAAGAAATCAAATGTTCCCACCTCCACACTTCCCTTTAGTTATAGTTGTTTTGATTTCAGCTCTTTCACCACTCCCGACATGGTATGTGCAATGTCTTACAAACAGTTAATCGTTTGTAGAATTTGAACAGACTATATATCCTTTCTGCATTCCACTGACAGGGAGAAATGTTTCTCTGCAAACTTGAAGCGACCATCAGCATGCTTTTCTTGAGCACTGGAGTCATGCATAGTGAGTATATAGTGTATAGCAGCTATTGCCTTTCATTTTTTGTTGTTTTGTTGAAAGAATTGTATATGCTTATTTTTTCAATCATCTTACAATTCAAAGGTTTAGGGTTCAATCATAGCTACTGTACCTTACGATGGCCCACCAAGCTGTGCGTCAGTGTATGGATGTGTGCCTATAAGTCAGTGCATTTGCATAAATGTTGCTAAAGTGTAAATTGCTTTGAGAGGTCACTGTGGCTAGAAAAAAACAACTAAATATTCAGTCCATTTTGCATTTTTAAATCCTTCTGCGAGAGGCCCTTGGTGCAAGAACAAATCTTCTGATATTTTGGGCTCCTCTATCAGAAATCTTGCAAAGATCACCTAGTTGCTTCCAGTTTATGGCGAGATGCTCAGAGTAACATTTAGAAGCTAAGAAATGTGTCTAAGTAATGGCATCACTGTGAGAGAGCTCTTGAATTTTAATGCAGTGTTGATTAGGACTACGCAATGCTTTTAAGTGTGTTCATCATAAGGTTCTGGATTACTTTCTAGATACTGATAGATGGAAATGGTTATCTTGGTTTTATTTTTTTATCTTCCTTTTTACATGTTTTACCACTTTTTCCTTATCTTTTCATTTATTTATGACGTATGGAACCATTTTTCATTATATCTCTGCATATGGGGAGTATTTATGATTACCAGCACCTGGTGTGAATATAACAGCCTTATTCTAAACATATATATACTGAGAAAACATTGAAATGTTTAATAGTCCTTTTTCTGCTCTATGAAGTATGAGTATCGAAGCTGTAGCTTAATTTCGTATCATCTGGAGTGTTGAAAAGGTTTCAGAACTGATCATCAGTCACTTCCTTAAATGCTTAACTGTTCAACGGTTCTGGGTAAGTATGATAAAACAGTTTTCAGTTAAATGAGTGGTACATCATAGTTTACTTTCATCATCAAGCAACATGACAAGGAAGAAAGATGAAAAAGTCATGCTGTTCTTAGCCAAACACTTGCATTCGGATGAGGCGAACCAGAAGATGGAAAAAACGTGGAGGACACTCTGTGAGGGATATGGGGGGGCATGTTGATGTGCACTGATCTTTAGGGTCCCAGTGATGGCAGTTAGAGGATTAGATGGGAAGGAAAACAGACTGAAAAGACAAGTTTCATGATGAGTCACTTTGTGACATTTTAAGAGAAGAGTCCCCTGACACATTTCTAGTCCTCTCTCAGTCTCACACTCAGAGGGTCCCAGGTAACATCTTCTGTCAGCTTCTCCTACATGGTAAGTTCAGACAATATATCTTTGTCTTCTTTGAGATTTATTAACCTTTTAATCTGACTTGTGGAACTGAAATCTATTTAGAGGACTTGCAGCATCAGAACTGGTTTAATTTTTTTAAATATAAATTTTTTTCTGTAAATAAACCCAACATATAATTCATTTTGTATGCATTACGTCTGCACATATCTGACACAATCAATAACCTCCCTCCTCCTCTTCTTCTTCTTGTGTTTATTTGCTACTACCCAGATGCTGCCTCTCTGTTATCTTACCGTTTCATTGCTTTGGAGACTTCAGTTCCTCTCCTCTGCACTTGCCATCCAGTGCAACGAGAATACCCAATATGAATGGCCAATATTCAACCCCAAGCAATGTTGCAACAAGTGTCCACCAGGTACTGTGACATCACCTTTGTACTTACAGACTTTAAAGGTTTCATTGTAAAGGCTTTTGACCTTTATTTAATCTATGTTTGTTCCAGGTCATTATTATGTTAAACGGTCTGACACCACTTGTGACATCTCATGCAAGAAATGCACGGGTGAGAGGTTTATGGATACCTACACCCTAGAATCAACCTGCAATATTTGTGGAACATGCACAGCAGGTGAGAAATTTACAGTAATTATTCTGTTTGGATGGGAAGACTTGCAATGTTTTATTTTAGCTGTCTCTTTATCACGAAATTACGATTCGATAAATGACGTGTCTCCAGTAAGAGCAAAAAAACTAGTTACAGAGGTATGCATCAGAAGGATACGGTTTGACTAAAACATTATCACCAGACAATCAGAGCTGATATGGACTGGTTTTGTTTTGAACATATGTATGATGAAGCATTACTGTAAATATACTCACAGCTTTACACACTCTCTCCTCTTTTTACAACCTTGTGGTTCCTGTTTGTCTTTGTGTGAACTGCAACTCTTCATGCAGGTTGTGATGGGTGAGAGTGAGTAATCTGTCGCTCTGACCGCTGAATTTGACCAGTTTCAATGCAATGCTGTACAGAAGACACACAGTTGGGAGTTACTCAGCTCTGACAGTGGGTCATAATTTCAGAGAAGCTTATAGAAAAAAAAGGTCTGCTGAACGTGAGGGGATTTCCCTGTCAGTGAATGAAAGGGGGCAAACAGTCAGAAGGAGATCAAAGAGAGGAGGGGAACTGGGGGGTCTGTCAAAACATTTCTAATGAAAGCTCAGATAGACTCACATTTGTGACTCTACAACGTGGAGACTTTTTAAAGTAGCTGAAAAGAAAAAAACCATGCATATTACAAAAAACAACGGAAAGATATGCTGATGCAGATTTCTCTGCACTGCTACAGGTGAAAAAAGAGCCCGTTTTGCTTATTTCTAAATGTCACAGTGGAATCAGCACCTAAGTGAAAACATGTTTTCTATTCTCAGTCTCAACTACTATTGTTTACATTCAGAGGCTCTATTTTTTTTTTAAGTATCTGGGCCAATCTGTGTCAAATGTGTTTTTTATGAAAACTTCTTAAAACCTTACTTATCTGTTTTAGAATCAAGACAGAGGAAGGTGGGTGTTGAAAATGTCAAAAAACTACACTTACAGGGGCTCGATGTCAATTAATGTGAATGGAAAGTAATTTAGGTGGAAATGATTACACCCACAGAAACGTTTTACATGCTGACCTTGCAGCACTGATCTTTCTTTTGTGCTTTGGATCGTTATTGTCGCCTTGACAGTTTGCAGGCTGCAAAGTAAAGAGAAGACAGGCTAAAGATAACATTTTTTAGCACCATATAACAAATGTATCTCTTAAATGCCTAAAAAAACAACTGACCTATTTACCAGTCTACCTCTTTAGAAAGGTGTTGCATTCCTCTAAAATCAATTGATGCATATAATTGATCCCCAGCATTAATAAGGTTATGCTTAGGATAATTTCTTCACAGGAAAAGTTAAATGCGTTAAAAATGAAAAGTCTATTTCTTTTACAAAAGATTTTAAAAGCTTTGACTTATTTCAAACACTATAAATAATGACTTCAGCACAAGTTTTTCTGAAATTCAATGGTCAATGCCATTCCTCAAAGAAACTTAAGCCTACCGGTACTTAATCGAGTGACTTCTCTGTCACAATGAAGGGAAGTAAATTCTTTCTAAATTGTATCTCTCAACATCATAAGTGAAATAGGAAGATGCAGATGAAAGGTTTGCTTTTTGATTATTAAACTTAGGAGAACAAGGAAACGGACTAGTAAAAGTTATTAGCTGTTTGCTCACATTGTATCATCATGACCTCCCATAAGAAAATAAACTTTTATCACATTAATATAATTTATCAGCTAAATCTATCAGATAATCACTCTATCTCTACTTTCTATGTTCTCTCTAGATTATAAATGTACGCTTATACATTCATGTTTCACTATGATTCTGACACTGTTAAAGTCATTTAAGCAGTTTTCTATTTGCTAATTTTTAGCACACAAGCTGGTGCGTCTTTGTAAGACAGAAATAGTTACATCAAAGCGAAACGCTGCTTTCTTAAAAAGAAATAACAGCCTTGCCTAATTCTTAAGAAGTGCCGATACAACTGACTAATGACTTAAAACTAAAAATGTTTACCAAGACCCAATCTATGAGTAATGTTGCAACATCTTGTCACACACAATTACAGTCATGCTTCTACATGTCATACATGTTAGATTTAAACACGCTATTTTTAATTATGTAAATTTGAACATCACTCTTTCTTTTTCCCAACAGAACATTCTGAGGTTGAATCCAACTGTACAATAACCCACAATACTGTTTGCAAGTGTAAGGCTGGCTACAGATGCATAGACAAGTCCTGCAAAAAGTGTGAGCCTGTTCCAAAGACCATCAAACCCACCCTGCCACCACCCACTACAGGTGAAATACAGTTTATCTACACATCCAACTTAATTAGACACCTACATTTTACTAAGGAACATTTTTTTTTTCTTTCTAGCATCCTTTCAAAGATTTATTATTAATCAAAGGATTTCTTCTTATATAATAATTTATACTAATGGCAATGTAGAGATAGGTTATCTATTACAAAGCGTTTCTGTTTCCTCACCTGTGGCACCAAAATTATATGGGTGCCATAGAAAATGTGGTATTGTACAGTCATTTTCTGATTTAAGCTCTTTAATTCCTACATTATCCACGTTCAAATGTTTCAAAATTTTATGACTGAAAAGGTATTTATTGAGGCTGAACACTGCTAAAATGTAAGTTACTCTGCATTACTCTTCAAGCTGCATTATGTGGCATTAAAGAGCTATTTTAATCAACATCAATGTTTACAAAAGTTTCATAACCAATATTACATATCAAAAATCAACATGAGGATGATTGATTGTGATTTTTTTTTTATTTCTCTAATCTAATAAATATTTGTGTTAACATAAATGAAATAAAAACTAGCAGCAGAATCAATAGAAATCCCATATGAATCAAACTAATGTCATTTGAAGTATACATTTTCTTCAGCAAAAAAGAAAGCTACGGAATCTACTCCCCAACTAATATTAGCTGCTCTATAAGGGGACTTTTATGACTGTTCAGCTGCTCCTTTAAATTAGTGATCAAGCTGATCAGAGTATAGAGTTTATTGGTCTCTCAGGAGTCTAAGGAAATATGTTTCCTGCGTAATAGAGAGTTTTATGGCAGTCTGAGAGGAATGTTAAAAAAGGAAAAATAGAGAAGTCTTAGAGCAACCTATGGTTTGGCTTTATGTTTGGTCAGATAAGCATAACTTGTCCCTCCTTTCGGCCAAAACAATAATCAGCTTTTCTGCTCCAGCTGCAGCTCAGAACCTGGCAGCTGTTTGTCCTTCCAAAAGAAAGTCACTATGTTGAACAAGTTAAATGCATGGAGGAAAACAAAACAAATAACTGTCAGTTTTTAAAAATATATATAACATTTGTTGCAAACAGCAATGTAGGCAATAAAAAAAAAAACTTGTTACAGCCCAATCTGACCCAGGGTATCAGTCCTGTCTCAGACTTGGTTGGACCGAAATTCTGGATGGTTTCAATGGCTTTGAGTCCAAATTTATCCTTAGTTTACCAACATTAACTTGCCTCTATGGAGAGGAGTAATAACAAGGGACACCTGGGCCAATCAGACGAAAACTTTGAAAAATTAGATGGTTATATAATTTTAGAAAATATAGAAATACGGCTTCTCTCAACAACAATTATCTGAACGCAGAGGAGGCAAAGTATTAACAAACAATCTAGTCATGTTATCTTTCTCATGAATAGGGCTTTTTCAACATTGAAATATTTTCTTGAACAAAAACACTTCTTCAGGCTGAAATATTCAGCATTAATCACTGTCTAAAACTTTGATAAATCATGGATTATTTTTTGTTTTCTGAAACCTCTATAGCAAAATTTAAAACTTATATGAGAGAAATCTTGGCATGCATGATCTTTTATAAGCTTGTAATTATTATGACCTTTCTGCATATTTTCGTTCTATGCTTGTAATTCAAACCAACTGTTTGCATATCCTGCAGTGATGATCAAGGAAAATCACACACAAACTGTCTGTCTGGTCAAAACTATGAAACTTATGTTTTTTTTTTTTTTACATCTGCACTGAACTGATAAGGTTTTCTTCTTTCCTCTAGTAAAAGTTTGGCTCACCTCCATAACAAAAACAACTGAAAAACCAAGAAACCCAATCAGAGGTGCAGTAAGCTTTTGTTAATGTAAAATTAAAATTATTTATATTCTTTTTCACTTCTCCTTGTGTGCATTAAATTCTGTGAAACATTTTTTTTTTTTTTTTATATTTCATTAAAGACACACAGTGGTTCCTGGTGATAGTCGCCCTTCTATGCGCTGGAATAGCATTGGTTGTTGTGACCAAAATCAAGCCTTTCCTCCACTGGATTCGGTCCAACCACGGTAAGAGGAGAGTCAGCTTAACACATTTTTACACATTCTGCTTTCACTGAGTGTAATCATTTTAGATTTGTCATCACTGTAAAGACCAAGTTCCACAATCAAAAGGCAAGCAAAAACATTTGGACAGTTTTGTAAATTTATTACAAGCAGCATTAAATACCTTAGCTGATTCTAGGATTTAGCTCTGGGCACAGTTGTTTTTATCTATCAATCAATTCCATTTAGTTAATTTTGTCCAGTCAACCCTTTCTATATTCATTAAACCATTTGTTAATAATCATCATCCTGATGAAAGACCAACTGATGACCCATTTAATTTTTTCTTAAAATCTAGCAAGAAAAAGCTTCAGAGACCAGATAATCACATGATACCAATAACCATTTTCATTCAGTTCTATAACAGTGTGCTTTAAATAGTTCTAACTGCTTTAAGATAAGAGATAAGATAATATAGACTTTGTTGATCTCACAGGGGAGAAATTCACTGGTCACGTCAGCTCAATAGTCAAAAGAAGTTGCCAAAAGGAGGAAAAGGTGCATAGGGTATATACAGTATATACAGTGTGTGCATATATATATATATATATATATATA